GTTAGTCAACACAACTCAACAGCTTATTTAAAAGCAGCTTTGCAATAGCTTGAAAATTACAAGACACCCCTACCCACCCGAGCCCCAGACAAGAAGCACTAGTAAAGTTTGTACTATTCACCTCTAATACAAAAAATATAGTGTCAAATTCCTAAACACTTGTTTTACTTTTGGACAGAACAGTGAAGGTGGATTCCAAGAGGGTTTTCTCCTGCAGCAATGAGTGAAACATTGGTTCTGTTGTCTGCTTTGTGGGCACTGTTACTATCCAGTGATTCTGTGAGTGGCCCTTTAGTCTTAGAGAGGTTGTTCTATTTGTCCATGGTGGAAAAGAGATTTTTTGGTACTGTATATGTTAGTATTGGTAATGAGAGAGAGAAGGACGGGGCTGTGGTATCAGAAAATGGTTTGCGGTCTTTGCCAGTGGATTGAGGGTTTTTGTTGTTGCTGCTGCAGTTCTTATATACCTGTGCTATACTCCCACTGCTTACAGTCCTGTGTTCATCCAGGAGCCCTGGATGTTCTTGGCAATTTTAGCTAGGCAATGATTATCTGTGCAGGAGAGGATATCTGTGCATTTTATACACTGCTGTGGAACAGCTGCCAGCCTCTCCCCAAGCAGGAACAGTGCCAAGGGAATAATTTCCCCAGCACATATCACAGATGAACGACCCACAGAAAACACTTTTTCAGCAGCTTTACCATGAAAGAAGTTCTTGGCCAATGGCATCAACCATCTCTACTGCTGTGTAAGATGTGAGGGTTTCCCGTGTACAGCTCAGCATAGTAAAGGCTGGAAGGACAAACCTGCAGTTCATTCACAGTTGTTAAGGATGAGGAGGATACGGTTCCCTGTTTTCATTCAGTTAATCTGAGATGGAATGCAGTCCTTTGCTTCAGGTCTATATTTCATAGGCTCAAACCCCGAGGATGATGAGAATTGCCCCAACAGTTTGTGGCTTGTTTTTGTTTTGCTGTATCCACACACGATACTTTTTCTAGTGGGAAATAAGAGCTGGAATGTTACTGAATGTTTTAAAACCTACTCATGGAACTGTCATTCAAGTGGCATGAAAGGAATGGATTGCAGGGCAGTGCTAAGGGGGGGGGCTGGCCAGGAGCCCTTCCTTGCTCTCATTGCCTGCAAGGCCTTGGGGGGAGCAGCTGTTGCCAGGGATAAAAATAATAACAGCAATACTTCTGTGTGCTATAAGAGAATAGCACTGATATCTTTCCATCTGTTACAAAATGCCCCAGTAATGTTTTTGTAGGAGTGCATGGTGGGTTTATGGCATTTGCTGTAGTAAATGAAGTTAGAAGGTAAACTCACAGAGTAAGGCTCTTTTCTTTGTGGCTTAATGTCTCTTCGTGTAAACTACGGGGCTGCAAAAGCAGTGTTGCAAAGCTGGATATCAGCTTTCTGATACTGCAGTTCTGGCAAAAGCTGTGCAGTGTGTCACTTTGGTGGAAAAAGAATTGTTTAAAGTCATTTTAAAACATATGAGTCTGAAAGGGGTCACAGCACAGAACTACCTGGGAGTCTTTGGGAAGATGGAAAATAGAGCAAGGCTGTGTCACCATGGCAGCCCTGTGGGACCTCCAGTGAGCAGCACTGCAGTTCTCCCTGCTGCCTTTTGGTTTGCAAGGAGGCTTCTGAGTTATTTTTCAAAGGGTCATAATTTATAAAACAGAGGAAAAGAATCAGATTTGGATTTCTGGCCCCTAATCCTGCATTGGGAGCTCCTTTACACAGCTGGGTTTGGGATCAAATCACAGAAACGCAGTTCTCAGAAAAAAATATAACATAGATGTTAAAAAATATGCTCCTGGAATGTTAAGATTGCAGATCCTTGTCAACATATCTATTTATGTAAAATTTACATACTAATTCTAACTTATTCTGAGTGAATATTGTATTGCAGAGCATCCTTGCAGCAGCCTTTGGTGGGGAGAAAAGCTGTGTTTTAATGTGAAATAGAGAAATTAAAGCACCATTTAACATCTCCTGTTGTACTGCCTTGCTGTTAATGGTAACAAAATCCATTTGTGGCTGCCTTGTTAAATGGCAGCAGAGACATTTCCCCCTGAATGTTAACATTTCTCTCTCTAAAACTGGGACAACACAGGAAGAAGGGAGGATAACTGGTGCAAGCCTCTATAATTAAAAGTGCTAAGTTTTATTAATATCATCCCATGACACTAACATAAAACAACAGAAAGAGAGCATCTGAAAACAGCCGTATCTGCAGCAGATATCTAAGATACAAGAAATGCAAAGTTCCCAGGAGTGGGAGAAAATGGAACAGAGAAGTCTGACTTAAATACTTGCTGTCTGATTGCTGCCCACTAAGACCAGCGTCATCAAGGAGAACAATTTCCTCTCTATGGAAAACGTTTGTGGTATGATGCACTTCTTTGTCACCTCTCATGCTTATCTTTTAAGCTATATGGGGTTTTTTTTCCTCACCATTTTATTTTCTGGACGTTCAGGCAATTGCATCCTCTCTGATGATGCTGGAGTGATTTGCGCTGCAAAGTCACTTACTGTATCCTAGGAGTGCTGCACTCTCACAGCTGTTTCTTGTGGTTTTATGCTCTAGCAAGATCTTCATCCTCTGTGATTGATACTGAGTGTGTGAATGGTGAGAAATGAAGGGTTTGAGGCTGTTCTCCTATCAGGTAGCAGCAGTGGGCTGACTGAAGAAGCCCTTTAATACTGAACTCATTTCTTAGACCACTTCCCTAGACTTGCAGTGCCAGTCGCAATCAGAGATACTGTAAGGCTAAAAGGATGTTTTCTATGGTACAGTAGGGCATATCCTATACAGCACAGAAGTACAGCCAGATCAATACAAGTTAGAAATGTAGGCTAGAAGTCCAACTCCTATTTCAAATTCCTTTCCACTGAGATAAATGGATTAGAAATGTTAGAGTAATATTTAAACAACTAAAGGTCATGAAAACAATACTAGGTTAGAAGTCAGTTCTCAGTGTAGATTCACAAAAGGAAGGTCAGCAGCAAAGAAGCTGCTTTGGCATAACTGAACAAAAGCCAGGAAACAGAATAACAATTCTCTACTGAGCAAAGCAAAATTGAAATCTTACCTCAGGCCCAAAACAGAACAGTTTCTGTTCCAGCATTTTAAAAAAAGAAATGGCATTCTTTTCAGTACGTAATTCAGAGGGCAGACTTCATGGGAGTTGGGGTTGGATGTGGATTTTGGTATCAACCCTGATCCCTTCCATCTGCAGGTTTGGTGCACACAGAGGAAATCAGGCTGGACAGGTCTGGCATCTCTCTGCTGCACAAATAGTAGGCAGGCAGAGCTGGATGGTTTCTCACATCTCTATTCCAGTCCAGGATGTAAACACTGCATGTTTCCTGAGTGAGGTGGTGAGGGCTGAGCTCTGCAGAGCTTTGACCCCTGTGTGTGGCTTAGCAGATTGGGACAACAGAAGCAGGAGCCACACAAGAGCTCTGCAGAGCACCACAGCAAGCTGTGGCACTGCCAGGGGATTCGTTGGGTCGTTGCTGGGGTGGCAAACTGGAGTTAGATTGAAAAAGCAGCAACCAAATTAAAACTGCATCCGAGGAGATGCTGAGAACAATTAACTGCTGGAGAGAGTGGGTTTCCCAGACAACCACAGCTCACGAAAATTCTGTTGCTTTTCTAATGATGTCATTGGCAATTTTTTTTATTCATGATGTTTTGTCCAATGAAAAATAAGTTTCTGGGGAGGAGGAATGGAAGTCACTGCAAGTATAATTCAAAGAACCACGTGCTGCTGAGAAAAGTGACAGCTTGCTGCCTGCTAAGCTGGTATTTTTGTCTTGGTCTTAAATATGCTTGCAGCAGTTATGGGTTCCCATTGCAAACAGGAGTGCTGATGTCACACTGCATGAAATACTAACATTTAAAAAATGGTTGGGAAAGTCCAAGTGTTTCTAAGTCTGCCTGCTCAGCTGGGAAAGCCATGAAATTGGCTGTTTCAGGTCAACAAGAGCAAGCGAAGTCCCATTCACAGCCATTGATTGTACTGTTCAGATCTGGGATCCCAGATGAAGAGATGATTTTGGATCTTTATGGATTTCCCCACTAAGTACCTGCCCTGTCATGCTGCTCTCAGCCCAATACGAGTACTATGGGTAATTCTCCAAGACAGTACAAGTGAGAACACTGGTGGTGTTTGGTTTGGTACCAGTTCTGCCAGGATGCTGACTCACAGTGACAGCTTTTCTCTTTTTTTTTTGGTTCAGTTGAAGCAATGAATCATATTTGCATGAGATGGGTAAAAAGTGATGAGAATTCACTAGCTCTGTTCCAGATGTGGGGGTAAATAGACCAAAGGTAATGCAGCCAGCTCTATCTCCTGCACAACATGCAAGCTGTACAGTAAATCAGGCTAATTTCTGGTAGTGATAAGTGGGGGTTATTGTGTTGGTATGAACCTAAAGCAAAATTAAGGTGTGCAGATTGAATTTACCTCCAGCTTTCAGTTCAGGACTGGCAACCTCCTGCATTTTATTTGGTTGTTTAAATCCTCCCCAAAGCAACAAGTTTTGTACCTCATGAAATTCTGCAAATGGAGAACTTTAGGGCATTGGTCACACATGCTCACAAACACTGACTGCACAGAGAAGGGCTTTGCTCTGGTTTTGTTATCAGAACAGCCAGGAGAATCTGCAGCAAGGCTACATTCATTGAATGACTTTGTAAAAAGAATTGTTTGGTTGACATTTGATATCTATTAAATACTTAGACAATCTATTAATTCCTCAAATCTCTGAACAGGAGAAGGTCAGATTTTCAGTTTTCCTTTAGCTAAACTGCAGCAAATGCACAGAGTCAACATGATGCCAGCAAATGACATTTACATCCACTTTTCAGGTAAGTTAAGTTGGAAACTGGGGGACTCAGGGCCCCAAGAACACAAACTCTTACACTGAGATTAACCTCTAGTGGCTCTAAATACTCACTGCTTAGCACTAGGCATTGTATTTTAGTAGGCATTGTATTCTTCTTTAGCATCACTGTTTCCTAAATATAGGATGTCATAATATTTACCTTGCACAGCTCTGTACCTCGCTCCTTCCTGCCCCTGGGAATGATTGATGTGCAGTCTCATTTTTGAATCTGAAACATGAATTTTAAATGAAAGAGGACTGTAGCACAGGGACAGCTTGTTTTCCTTATTACGGAGATGATTTTTAATAGGGCTGCTTCTGCTCCTCCAACTGAAAATGGCATTGTGGAGACGCATCTGCTTCCTTGGGCAGTGTGCAGAAACCCTTATTTCCTCCCTGCCAAAGAGATTTTCAGGTGTGAAAGTCAGCTGGCCATCGGTTCTTCAATGGAAATGAAGGATTAAAGTCCATTCTGTCTGCTGTAGTTGAAGTCAGGCTCCTCGATCTCAGTTTCTGTTATGTCTGAGATTTTAGAGTGTGTCCTTCCTATTTCCTCCAGGGCACAAGCGAGGGAGTCGAGGTCTCCATCATGTTGGTGTCGGGCTTCCCAGAGGTCCAGAATGACTGCAGATGGGCTGCTTTGTGTGGCAAAATAGGAGAGATTCCTGAGAGGAATAGGGAAAGGTGGAACAGACGGATTAGAGTAAAGAAACCTGCAGCAAGATCTAGCTGGATGAATAGAGGGAATCCTAGTGAACAGCTCATATGTGCATATGTGTGCAGTACAAGTTTAGCTTTGAAGTCTCTTATAGCAAAGCTCCTAACTGACGGTTTCAGAACTATGAAAGAACAGATCCCTGTCCAGAATGAGGACTTAAAGCCAGAATGTCACTCCTGTCAAGTGAAACTGTCAGCAGAACTACAGCTATGGCAGTGCTCCATTTTCTGATTATTATTTTTAAATAGATGGGGGAAATATGATGATGATGTTAATAGATTGCAGCTGGATGAAGGTTGGTGAAGTCATGATTTTTGTTCTACCCTCTGAATTTTATCATTTCATGTCTACTTATTTAAACTGCTTGAGAACAGTCTTTTTCTACCTCTGAATTTGATTGATAAAAGTGCATGCTGCACCATCCAAATGCATCCAAGGGAGAATCAGAAGTTAAAGAACTGTCACAAACTCAGTCTTGCACAAACCATTGTAATCTCTATTCTGCACTGTCCTTCAGTTTCCTGAGAAAGCCAAAATTCCTCAGGATTGAAGAGCATGACAATGCATAGCAAACGCTGCTAGCTAAAGCACAGTGCTGTGACTCACTGCTGCCTGCCTGTAACTTCATTCTCTTCTTTGGTTCGGTTTTGATTTATTGACAACCCTGTGAAAAGGAACTCGTCAACAGGAAGCTGTTTTGTTTCATCCTCTGTGCTCCTGGGCATGTACTTATGGAGGTGGTGACAATCAGAAACTATTTGAGTCCAATGCCTTCCCCAGTTCCGTTTAGCCAAGTGGGAAACGCAAAATAAGCAGTGAGTGAGTTTTTAGAGTGCCTTTCCGTTTTAATAATCATAACGTTATTGCTCCTAACAGTAGAGTGTAACTTTCTTTGAAATATTTTTTTTCCTTAGGAAAAAAAAAAAAATCTATGAAACCCATAATTCAGTTTGGAGATGGCAGCCACACAACAGCTGCTGTGTTCACAATCATTTCTAAGTGCTCTGGTGGGTTACAACCTGAGCTCAGGATAACACCAGGTGGGATGGTTCAGAGTGGAAGGCAGGTCCTGTTTTCAGTCACTAGTAGTATATAAAAGAACATACCAACTACAGTTTATCCTTGAGAGGAGGAAAGGCAATTACTATTTATGCATCCTTAATACCAGCAAATAAAAAAAAAAACCCATAACACAATAGCAGCAAAATTATTCTTGTTGCATATGTCAATGTTCACCTTTCAAAATTGCTTCCCATTACCTGCTGATGCTGTTTTTCTGTGCTAGCATCTGCCAGTCTTTGCCTTTGGCATTGGGTGTGTCAAATGTTGCACAGATTCTTTGTCTGATGGAGTATGGGATTTTAAATGCTTTTGCACCCATCTGTGCGGGGAAGTTGCTGTCGTCATGTGCAAAGAAAGCAATGGTTTCTCTTTCGTTCTATACAGAAGATAAAAGCAAAGCAGTTAGTGCAGCACTGGGTTCTGATCTGGAGATCTGCAGGCAGCTCTCCATTGCAGAAACAGTACCATCAACGGTCCTGTTCAGGAGCCAGAAACTGAGACAGGAGTTTTGCATGGTCTCTTCAGTACCAGAGTGCTGGGAGTGCACTCTTATGCAAGGATCTGCCTGCAAGCAAAGCATGTCTACATACATACATGTCTACATACATGTGCTGCTGCCCCAAGGCTGCTTGTGGACAGAGAATGCATGCAACTGTATCTGAGGTCCCCCTGATAGTTTGCAGACGTGACAACAGAAAACCAAACAGCCAGGAGGGTGTTTTACCTGACTTGTGAAGGAACTTTCTAAAGCGTTTAAAATAGTGTCATTTTTCTTTCACAGGAGTTTTGTTTATGGTGGGGTTACAAAGTGCGATAGAGCAGTGGAATTCAGGTTCTTTTGGTGGACTGGGCCTGTTCTGTTCCTATGCAATTATACCAGACTTATGTAACAGTCCCACTTCCATGCATTACTTGTTTCAGTGCAACGCGACATAAATATTAAATAACAGTGATGCTATAGTCTCTTCATATAACATTTATGACACATTCCAAAAGTCATCCATGCAGAGTACTAGAGGTGCTGCACATATATCACAATGTCTGTTCAAATTAAACCTGCAGAACAATGGTAGGTTTCATACCCTGCACTTGTGAGATAAGCTGCTGCTACCTGGTTAGTTTGGTGCATCTTAAAGCTGTGAACAATTCAAATACTCAGTTGTTGATTATATTTACTTTACAGTCTAATTATCCCCACTTTTCTCTCACCTTTTCAGAAAGCTGTGTCAGCACATCTGCTTGAGGGGACAATTGTGGCACTCTGAGGCTTTGTGGACAGGTATGTCCCTTTTTTTTTATTATCTGAATTACATTAGAGGTTTTCTTATTTAGATCTACATTCTGTGCATATTGCTGTTTGCACAGACACAGATCTTGAATCCAGAAGTTTCTGCATACTTTCTAAACAATCAGCAAAGATGCTGACTAGCCTAAGCATCTTAGTTCTCCTAAGTTCCATAAGTTCTCCTTGCCCTTTGGAGGCATTGACTGCTTGAACACCATTGCTGTGGCCAAACAGCATCCAGGCAAGCTATTCTTCTTTAAACTCTCAAGATACTCAAAAACTTTCCACAAGAAAAATATCACCATCATCTCACATACGTATAAATTATTTTTAGTGTTCTAGAATCTCAGTAAATGCTGGAAATAGAACCGAATGCTCTGTGCTTGTTGCAGCGTTAAACAGGGCATGAGAAATGCCAATGAGGTAGAAGGGGCAAAGACAGGGCACAGTTTGTCTCATGCTACACAGCCTGACAAAAGAAAATGAAAAGGAAAGGATGCTTTACCTCGAGGATGGAGGTCTGGATCTGTAGGATTTGCTCGTGCCCCTTGACTTGCCGGACGCAGATCTTGCAGGACAGCTGTGTGGTTGCAGGAGTGTAACGCTCCAGGGAGAAGGCACAGTGCAGTGGCTTCTGGTTACTGCACCACACACGGGAGAATGGGACCTCCTGGGAGAGAAACAGCCCACCAGAATGGGGGAACGAGAGTGAGATGCTGGATCTTCCAAGAGGTAAAGATGCCAGGAAAACAGCTGCTGTTAACCCTGGGTGTTGCCTCTGGTTCTTACCATGCTCACCGCGGCCCCTTCCTGCTCTATCAGCCCAGTTGTCAAGGTTTCCCCTTACTTATATGTCTGTATGGTGGGAAGGATGCCAAGCACTGAGCACCTGCTCCTGTAGAAAGGCCAGGACAAACAAAGGCACTAACAGTTTCTCTGGGCTCTGCTGTCTGCCACCTGCTATACACTGCTTTAACGCTGCACTTTTACATGGTGCTGATTTGTCCCTTCAAGCCTTGAAATGGATTTTGCTAATCTGAGAAAATCATTAACATAAATCATTTCCTCATCGTAGTGTCTGACAATGGTTTCATTGCATCAGCTCTTTCAGTTGTTCTAGACAACCCAAACTTAAAGCCTTGGTATGTGGGAGAGAAATGAGTAAACACTCCAAGGAGCCACAGCAGAAAACATTTCACTGAGCCAGTGCAAGTTGGTCAGCAGTTTCTGTTAAGAAACAATCATCATCTTCCTCAGCTGCCGTTCAAATGGTACTCAGTTATAAAATGCAAATGTTTCTTTGCCTTCAGTATCAGCATTGTGGCACCGTTCTGCCAGCAGAGGATCTTCACACCCTTCTCAGAAACCTCGAGTCCTTGCTGTGCTCAGAGCCTTCCTTAAAGCAAACACAGCCCCACAGTCTTCAATGATCAGACAGCAAATCAAAAGACAGGGCTGTTTTTATAATACAAGTTGAGGCAAAACCTGATTTGTTGTATTAATAGAAACCTTCCATGTCATTACATTGAAGACGTGTTTTTTTTTGCTAAAAATCAAGATGAAAGACATCTGTATTTTAAAACACCAGCTCACTCTATTTGCCAGCACATGGCTTATAGCTTCCAGTAACCAATACATTTGAAATTCATCTTATGTTTTGATTTACACTTTCCTGTTTTCAACAGCCTCTCTAATTAATGTCTTACAGGAAAAGTAATTTGCTCTTCATCAGTTCTAAGAATGCGTGTGCTGTAATTTGAAGTCATGACATTTAAATACTGACATATATCCTCTCATTTTCAGCCATACATTCATAATTATACTGAAATTGGAATGACAAAGATATCAAAAATGTTTTCAGTAGCAATAAACACCATTGGAGGTAGTTTAAATAAGGAAATGCACAAGCTTGCTTTCTATTAAAAGATACTTGTTAAGTATTCTGCTGCATTTGAAATGTTTCATTCTGCTTTTGACAAAATCATAATGCAATGCATTTTTATAGCATCTCAGAGATTAAAACCACACCATTCAAAATTAACAGGGAGTTGTCCTGTTATGTTTGTGCCAGTGGAAATTCTTACTGCCTCCGAATTAAAATGCAAACAATTAAGATGGACAATTACCTGACAGGCAGTAAAAGGTTTGATTCTCCAAAGGAAAGGAGGGATATCGAGGACAGATATCTGGAGACTGAAGGTATTCCCTTTGAAATGCAGAAGTTTGGGTTCATCCAGTAATTGTCCTCCTTGGAGCCTTTCATCCAGAACCACTTCCTGCAATGGCAGAGGAGAAAAGAATTCTTTACTATTAGAAACAAACACCGACTGTGATGAAAATTCATCTTTGTGAAAGGAACTGAGGCCATCCACAGCAGTGGGGTGTTTCTGTCACACAGTGGGCTCTGCCATTTGTGCTCCACCACTGGACTTCCAGGGATGCCATCAGGCTCTGTCAGCTCTTTTGCTGTCCTTGATGCTACTTAGGATTATTTTCTTCACTCCCTCAGTGTCAATGCCAACACACCTTCCCTAGGACTGCAGTAATTGAGAAAGAGACCACAAGGGTCCTGCAGCTCTTTAACGCCTGTCTTCATGTTTCAGTTCCAAGTTGAAGCTGGGCTTTTCCACTGGAAGTTACTTTGGTGGCTCTGCTGAACGTCACAGTTTGAGAAACAAGATTATTTTTATACAACTCGAGAAATTATAGAACATTATAAAATTGTACATTAAATATTAACTAAAAGCATATAAAAACATAAAAATTACACTACTTAGAATTTCATTTTTATGAAATGCTATAAAACTGCTACACAATACTAAATGATTACAGCTAGGGCTTATTCATAACCGATGCTGAGTCACTGAACTGTGAACACGAGAGCCAGATTTTCCTTTATATGTTCAACAAATACCTGAAGAAGGAATTTGGGCCTCTGAATTTCAGGCAGATACATCCAGGAAAATACTTCCAGCCCACAAATTGTGTGAATAATATAAAGGGTATAATTACAAAGCTACTGTAAATCTTTAACCATCCTTTCAGTGGCTTTGATTTTATTAGAGCACAAAGGCGTTAGCGTGTGCTCCATTAAGATTTGTGTCTTTATTCTGTACAATAGGAAGAGGAAGTAAAAAAATTTGGTTACAACCGTTTCCATTTCAGCTCTCAAAAGAAAAACACTTTGTTAAAGCTTCTTGAATCACCATGGCTACAATAGCCTGCGAATCTTATTGTTTTGCCTTGGAATGCAAAGTCATACTAATTTTAATTTACGCTTGGGGATTTTTTGGTTTAATTGTTTTTTTAAAGGAGAAATGCACAACTATCTTTTCCTACAAGAATTTAATTATAAGAATACAATCTCTTCTTGCTCATATTATAAAAAGGAGAGGAATCTCTCAAGTGATTAATGACAGCTAAGGGTAATGAGCGTGATAAAGGAATACACATCACAGTTCCGAACTGCTGCTGCAGCCCTAGGGATAAAGAGATGCTAATATTCTATAAGGGAAAAAAAATTAAAACCAAAACATCCACGTGAAATTACATACCTGAAATGCACAAGGTGTGTTATCCATGCAATACACTCTCAGATTGTAATCCAGAGAATTGCAAGACAGGCAGCCAAAAACCGCTACTTTCAGCTGTCGGACGGCACACTCAGAGATGGGTTCTCCAATAAGTGCATAAGTTCCAAAGCTGTTTAAGAGAATGTGACAGGCATAAGGATCCAGCAGGCAGTAGCAGGAAGTAGTTTCCTCTTCCACAGACATCACTTCCTGCAAAACGAAATTCAAGTTTAAAAAACAACCACCAACAAAAAGGCTTTGATAATAGATGTCATGACATCATTTGTATACAACTGGAATGCAAAGTTATTCCCAAGAGCCAGCTTCATGTCCTTAAACTCACGTTGATCTCAAAGAATGAGGAAAATTGTCTAACTATGCAAGTGAATAGCCTCCATTTAGCCCTGAATCAGCAAGAGGATTTCTGACAATACACTGTACAGAATTCAATGCATACAGCATATAATAATGACAATGCCTAAGCAATTTGAGCTTCTTTTTTCAAGTGTTCTTGACTCCCTATCTAATTTTTTTTCCCCCAATGTCAAGGTAAGAAATTACCTCGAAGATTGAAGTCAATAAGCAAACCTTGAACAATCGCAGGTATTTGACATCCTTTCAGAACATCCGCTACAGTTGTTTAGCTTCATCAAAAAACTACCTAACCCACTCTTTTGTATTTCATGCTTAGTTCTGCATTACAGCATCGTTAGATGAGATATCTGAGCAAGCTACAGCCTGGTGTTACGCTCCTCATTAATTCTGGGCTGCTTGTAACCGACACTGATGGGGCTGACAGTGGATTGAATGAATTTTATGAGGAAAACGAAGCTGAATTTGAAATGGTTTAAACAAGAGCCACAAGATGGTGGTTTACAGGAGGAAACGGATAGAGTTAAGGTATCCACAAGCGTTTTAATGACTCTTTGTTTTCTTTACAATGCAGGGAATCAAACAGTTCCATCAGGAGCAGTGCAATAAAGTGTTGACCCTTTTCCTCTATCTTTCAGTTCAGCGCTTGAACAGAATTCAACTACTTTGAAACAAAATGCAAAATCTGTTTCATTTTTTTTTTTTTAAAAGGAGAAAAGATGCTTCCTTTAAAACTGTTTTGACTGTCCTGTCCCTTGCACCATCTTCAACCAGCTCCTGCCTGATTAACAGCAATCATGTTTTCCATTTAGTGTATATAACTTTTCAGTGGGAGCAGAAGGATGAACGTACCTCCCATTTTCCTTGCTGAGTCCTTTTCTTCAAGTGGATATTCCAGTGCTCTGAATTTACTTCTGCACAGTGTGGGATAGTCAAGGCAAATGGAGAGCTGACAGAGACATCCGAAGGGCCACATGTCACTTCTGGTCCCAGGAGGACATCTGGGCCTTCTGGCTGTAGGCTGGGGATGAATAACAACACTTAAGGACCTTTTTAAATGAGTGAAAATGTACTCACACTAACTGCAATACGAATTTTAAATGTTTTAGTTAAAAATCCAAGTAAGTGCTTCGTTCATCTGTTGCAGAAAAGATAAGCAAGCCAAACTACAGCACTAATTTTCATATAGATTTGGTAGCAGGAAGCGAAACAGAACTATTGGGCCACAAGTACTTAAATCATTGGCTGCCTTTTTAGGTTCTGGTCTTTAAAATACATTTTGATTTGCTTAAACAAAATGAAACACTGGAAACTATACAAGTAAGCCTCGTGTTGTGCACCAGCTGGTAGTGCTACCATCTAATTCTGCCTGCAAAGAATGCCATTAACAATATTTCCACAGCAGTGAAGATTAAACAATATTTCCCCAGAGGAGATGTGAATAGAGTTTTGGTTAAGTTGTGCCATTGGTGACGATTCCTATCTAAAAAAAGCCCTGATTTTTCAAGGCCCAGGAATGAAATAAAACACTGCAGATACAAACAGTTCCCCCCCATCACCTCTGTTCCTATCAACATATATCTCATACCAACCTATTTCAACGTGTGAACGAAGACTAGAATATAAGTGACAGCTAAACCATTCCCAATTAACCTAAATCAGAACAATACCACCCTTGTTCTCTCCAACACATTTTATATTGACTTCAAATCCTTACAAGAACCACAGAAGTCTCCATTCTTGTATGCATCTACTTATGTGGTTAACTCCTGCGTTAAATTAAATTGCACTGAGCACGATACGATGTGCACAAGGTTTCATTCAGAATCTACAACACGAGCTGCTGTATTTTTAATGGTTATAATTCTTCTGCTGGTGAGGTACAGCACAGCTATTCTCTCCCTCAGTTCAGACGGGTGAAAGATGCATCAACATTGCCTCAACTGGCAGTAAAACAGCCTGTGATCATTTTCTGTTGGGTTTGCTCCCTCCGTTTCTGCCCACGATAAAGAGGAAAGCAGTAGGCAAAATTTGCTGCTTGTATTTAATTAACCTATTTTAACTCCCTTCTGCAGAGCCATTGCAGATAAAACAGCTGTGGGTTTGTTGTTTTGTGTGGGGGGCCCCCCCCCCCCCCCCAACTTCTTCTTCCCTTCCTTTTACATATCTTAATATTCCACTGAGAATGATCAAAAACCTGTAGCAGCAGATGGGGACAGAATAGGAAAGTTCTCACAAAGGAATGCAGATAAGAGGGGGAAGAAAAATTAGAATAGATTTCAGATTAAGTTTCAGAAAACAGTTCCAAGCTTTAAAATTCATAGGAGCTTTGTATGATTCAGTTTGCTCTCTTCAATTCATTTCTTAAAATCTACCTCACAAAAAAAAATAAAATAAAACCACACCAAAAAACCTCCTACAAAACTAAAACAAGCACCACATCTGAAAACAAAGACTGTGTTCCACCAACCCTGGCAGCTAAAAGCCAACTGGGAAGTAAACATTTCTGTAGGAATGACTGTAAAAAAAAAAAATCTAAAATAATCTGCTTCTCTGACTGTGCTTTGTCATAAAAGAAAGGAGAGGACTCAATCCCAAGCATCTGACTTGGGACCAAAATCTCTCAGCCTTCTAATATGGAATGAAGGCCACTGAAGTGATTGCAGCAGAGTTGATGAAAACACCCACAGCTGCTGCTGGCAACAGAATTTAAAGCCATGTATCTAACAGAGCATCGTACATCACAGCAGTGTGGCCCTACCAGCACCACTGAAGACAGATGTTCCATTCCTATAGACAATCTTCACATGAAATCCATGAGATGAGCCACTTGCACACATTCTGCATGCTACTGACGTGGGCTTTTTACATATGTTTTACCTGGACTCTCTTGGGTTGATAGCAAGATAGATCTCCCATGAGCTCTCTTCAGGAATTGCTCCATGTGGCACCAACAGACTGACTCCTACAACAGAGCAAAGGCAGAAGTTACCTTTGGGAAAGATGCTGAATGTAAAGCTGAGTTTAAAGGAAACCCTGAGTAAAGATCATGAGAATTCAAACAATAACCTGCTAGCTAGAAATGGGGGCATCCAACCATTATAGAAACTACTGAGTGTGAGAGTTTATTCAGCAAAGTATGAACATGGTGGTGTAGTGCAAACATGCTGCAGGAATATGATCTCAGCATCCTTTATTTGATGTTATATGTTCCCAGCTAATTTAACTCAAGTGAAAGTCTCAAATTCTGTCTCACAAAACTCTCAAGTCACAAAACAAACTGTACTCCTTAAACAATGCAAATTGAGCATTCCTCTTGCAATGCTTCAGTGCATAGCCCAACCTTGAAGTGCTCATCTCAAAGAAAGAGAAAACCAGAAAGCCAGGAGCACAGTAATGAAAGCCACACCAGAGTTCTCCTATTTCTCCTGAGACGCCTTAATTGTTATGTGCTGCAAACTTTAATAATATAATGAAGCCTGACAGTGTTAATGCAGTCAGGTGCTGATGTGTGTAGACTCTGCTTTGAATTTGACCCCATTATCTGAGATCCTGATCCAAGAGCAATTTCCTTTCCGGGGAGTGCTTCGTTTGGATCAGGATCCAAGTGAGCTACAGCTTTGATTAATATAACTTTCATGCTAAAGACATCAAGAGGTGGTAATTTGTAGCAGTTCAAATAGGCATAATATGTCTTTACTACTAATCCCAAGCTTTGTTTTTTATCATAGCCACCTCCTGTGTGGGCAAGAGGCTCTACTTCACAGACTTTGCATTATGGAAGCTCCTACTTTTTATGTATTTAATTCATAGAATGAATGGATAGAACACTGCATCAAGCAAAATGAATTTCATATAAAATTATGTGCTATTAATAGGAAAGGATCTACTCACCTGTATTTGGAACCACTAAACGACCTCCCAGGTGTCCAAAGATAGCAGTTGTCTTCAGCTCATTTCTTGTTGAAATTGAAGACAGGTTCTGAATATATGCAGCCTTGTTTCTAGCCTGCATTGTTCCAAAACCTCTAGCATTCCCATGAGGAAAAGTTCCAGAATGTGCCTTTCCAGGATATTCAGCCCTCTCTGTCACCCCTAGGGAAACCATGAACGAACTCTGAACTTTGACTTTGATGTCTGACAGTGGGTTAAACAGTGAAGACTCTGTCATTAGCTCCTTGTCCATTGGATCCTGCAGGCAGATAGGTCCACTGTACGTTCTGCTCACTGTCAAGTCAGGCTGCATGGATGAATTCAAAAGCAGGGAGTTACCTGGTGAAATGAAGTGGATCAGGCAGTTAGTTACTGTATTGTAGAGCATGCAGTGAAGCAGAATAATGCACCTAGATAACACACTGCTGAAGAAATGATACTGTGGATAGGGAACATTCCATCCATTTTGTGTAGATCTTCATAAATCACAGAGAAGTGGGAATGTGGAATCTTGGACTGCAATCCTAATCATGCACTGAATTTGAGTTACAATCCTGAAATGAATAGATGTCTTTGATTTAAACTATGCCCTTAGGTTACAAGAGCTGCATTTACATTGAGAAGTGAGAAATAATAGAGACATGGGTCTAAGTAGCCCAAGACCCATGACTCATGTCTGATTCATGCATCGTGACTGGTGGTGGTGTGTTTTCTTTACTAAACAGCCATGGAAATGTTTACATACTGTATGATATTCCATGCACACCTGCCTCAGTGCCCCATTAACCCAACCCAAGTTCCAGCCTGAACTGTGCCACTAAGCCTGCTGCAGCTAATTCCTCCCTCCTTAGCAATGTCTGGAGCTTAAATCACTCTGCACTCGAGAGCTGCCTGCAAATAAAAAGTCAGGCCTGTATTTCACTGTCACTTTCAGTGAACCATTAGATGCATTTGTAAATCCTAAGCAGTACTCAGCTGCACTTTGATTTCCCCATCTATAAATTGGAGCTAGACAGGTAAGACTTAAGAGATCTCTCTGATGTGCATCTAATGCTAACTTGTTTGATGCACTCAGCACACACTGCAGCCCTGGGAAAAATAATTGTATTTGGAGAGTAAAAGCTCTCTTTGCTCTGTTCTATGCAATATAAAAGAAAAGTACCAAAGTAAGCACTGGAAATGTACATAACTGAGCTTTAATTCCTTGTATCAGACATCTCTTCCTGACCTCACCATCATTTCCTTTTTGATTTACTCTTCTTCCCTGGCAGCCTCAAATCTTAAAATCAAAGGGGACGATGTTGAGACCCAGATGAAACCATGCAGAAGCTCCATCAGGTACTTGATCACTGTTCTGCACTTCAGGCAATTCTAATGTGCATGAATCCATGAAGGAACTCCTGCTCTGTTCTGGATTTGGTTCTGTGTGCGTGCTTTTGTTTTTAATTACATTGGGTAGAGCTTTTTGGTGAGCTTGCACAAAAGGACAGCTTCATGCCTGAGGAAAAGTGGACTGAAAGTAGGACAAGACTAATAAGGGGAGAAATACCACAGCTGTCCATCCAGAAGCATTCTAGCTCAGATAACTTCCTATGAGTCACAAACATCAGCATAGAATCTAATGACAGTATTTCTGAAGCGCATAAAGCATGGTCAAGAAAGACTGTATGTCCAAATTGCTGTGACAAATCAGTAACAGAGATTACAAAAGACATCACTGTTCAACCCCCAGATCCCACTCCACATGCCAGATCTGCCCTTCCCTGGCTCCAGATGTGTCTGCCTTAGCTTTAGGCTGGAATGCCCTCCTGCAGCCAGTCATCGCATATGAGCTTAGTATCTCTTTGTAGTAGGGGCTCTGGAGAGAAGAAAATGAAATCACAACACTAACCTTGTCTGACTGTCTTAAAATTAAATGTCTGGAAGCCTCCTGTCAGTGCAGATGAATCAATCACATCCACGCCGTACTCACTCTGACTCCGTCTGTAAAGGGTAACACCAACCACCAGCACAGCTACAGCAATCACTGCTGCTCCCAGGCCAGAGTACAGGGCAATGTCACTGGCTGTCTCTATATCTGAAGGACAAAAAAAGCGGGTACCGAGTCAGTAACACTCATGAAAATGCCCAGTGTGTTCCTAGCAATGGGGATTGCCCACAGCCACAGACTCACGGCCAGAGGAATAAAGCTTGAGGCATAAACCTGGGGCAGATCACAGCAGGATAGAACACCGAGGAGCAAGCATTTGAAAGCATGAACAAATTTCCTGGTGCCTCATTCTGTGTACTAAGCTTATATTGATTTAGGAGTTGCATCATGGTATTTGAGGTTTTCTTGAAGTGGGATAGTTGGACTTGTAACAGTCAGAAGCAGAGTGCTTACCACTAAATACCTTCTCTCCTCAGCACACCCTGCTAGCTCAGGCTGTGCACTCAGGTATGCCATCTTTTACCATTCTTGCCCAGTGGAGATCATTAAAGTATGGTAATACAGCCCTTAGAGGGGAGAACGTGGAAGAACTGAAGCCAGGGGGAGTTGTTTTATGTACTGCAGGATTCTCATTTACTGACGGCTTCCAGGGACATGTAAGTTTTTTGTTTTCAGTTCTAGAACTAATCCAGGATGCCATAAATCCTCTGAAAAAAAAATTCTTAGTGAAGATTTTCCCTTCCTTCCCCTTTTGTTTTTTTGTGAGCTTTAGTTTAAGAAGGAACAATCCACCCTCTCAAAGCTTGAAGAACGGCTGACAGTATCCTGCATATCTTGGTGGAATCCTGCTGTTGGAAACAAGCTGGAACACAAAGCCTTGCCTCTGACCACGTCCACACGTTAAGCTTACAACCAACTTTCCTAAGACTTCCAACTTTTTACAGCAGAGGAATTTCTTTTTTTGAAAGAATGAACCCAAATAAAACCTGCAAATGTTATGTAATTGAATTATCCAGTCCCGCTGTTCTAGATCTCCTGGGATTTAGGACCACATACCATGAAATTAAACTACTTGGAAGTGTACGTAGTGAGTCTTCAGACAGCTCCCTTAATGCCAAACTCCAGCTTAGAGGAAGAGATAATGGTGTACGTTCACCCCGTGCATCACCTGCTATCTCACTCCACTCCACTGTGGAGTGAGACAGAATAGCACCTTCTTGCTATCAGGTGAGGAGCATGTTGGTACAAAACATGCATTTATAACAAATGACAGTGACAAAAAATGCTCAGGAAAAACAGACTATTCAGTACCACTGAATATGTATGGTAGGAAGTCAAATCCAACATGTTAAGTGAAACTACTTCATGTTTGGGAGGAGGCTTCTGCTGTGCATCTTATTTTTTCTGGAGTCAGATGACTTTATTTCAGCTGAATTCTTGAACATGAAACCACAAACCACTGAAATGGAGGAAATTATGACCTATGGGCAGCATTTGAAAAGCTGGTGTTTGTGGCTCACCAGTTTCCCCACATGAACTACATGGCTGACAACAATGCAAAGCTGAACTTCCTAGGAAGGCACAGCAGCTGCCAAATGCAATCATCAAGTTCAACTGCATTCTAACAGAAATAAAATCACCATACGAATTGCAGCAGTGAGGAAACTGAGTAGGAAAACACTGCTCTAAGTAGGCTGAGGCACATAGAGATTTGCTATTTTCAAATAACCTCATACTGAAAAACATTCCAATTTTTAACATGTTTGCAATCTGCTTGAAAAGGAAAACAACAACAAAAGCACCACCGAGCTTTTAGTTAGTGCAAATATCAACTTCCAGGAGACATCCATCCGCTGTGGCCTCTCACAACAAGTAATCACAACTGAGAAACCTCAGAAGTAAACAGCTCAGTTCCAAATTCACAATTACAACACGCTTTTACCAAATAAATTACTGAGAAAAAGATTTCTTTTTCTGCACCATTTTGCAATTTTTAATTCCAGAAAGTCAGCTTTTAGCTGACAATGGAAATGCATCAGAATAACAAAGGGAGTTGCCTCTATTCTACATTTCCCATCTGAAATAAGAAACACAGGAAGACCAGGGCACAAAGGAAGACCCTGGAAATACCTCAAACCAAGAATACTTGAATCCCAATCCAACACATGAATCACATACTGTTGTACCTCCATTTTATTCTTTGGCACCACGTACAGAAAGTACAGAAATTGATCATGTTTCCATCCTTGCAATTTACTATTTCCAGTCTATTTTCTTGTTACGGGGAATTAATTGTGATACTTCATCACCAGCTTCATTTTTGTAGATTGGTACAAACAAGTCAAGGGAAAGAGTGGTATCTGTCGCCAACAAACAAATGGGAATAGTTGGCCAATGATGGGTTAAGAATTGCATCCTCCCAGCTCTGACGTATCTGCTGCTAAGGGCTTCAACTTTTACACATTTCAGTTACAGGACACACGTTGGTGGTAATTGTAGCCTATATTTCACTCCACCTTCTGACACTGTTACACAACATTTATTGAAAGCACATTTGATGGTAATGAAGTTTCTATTAACTATGATTAAGTTTTCTACAGCACCTGAAGATAATTTAAGATGCGCAGGAGCAGAAAATGAAACATTTGGTTTAGTACATTAGGAAATGTAATTGATTAAATTATCTCATTTACAATAAGTGCTTTCCAGGAGATATGCAAGGCGTGTATTTCCCCCAGTCTCCCATTAGAATTTGCTAGGAGATTGGAAAGATTCTTTCTGCTTCCCATCCTCCCTTATTTTCCACCTCCCTTGCTTTTGATGCCCCTTAGCAACTCGAAATCCATTGCTTCACACAGCTAGTCCTTGAGAGTAAGGACCAAAAGCCAGAATATAATGTAAAGGCTAGTTAATAGAACAGGTTGTTTCTCAATTATCTTCATAATTGACTTTGATTTTGCATCAGTGATGATTCATGCAGTCTTAAACGAAGTTCCTGTTTCACTGAATAGCAGCAAGCTGTACGACATGTTTCTAACCCCACAGCTAAAGAAACCATTTAATTCTCCAAGGAACCTTACGTGCTAAAAAATCAATGCCATTAAGGTATTTTTTTGGTTGTTTTTTTTTAATAAATCAGAAATTAAAGCAATTTAACCAATGTTCTTTCAAGACTCTCTAATTAAATGGGAACAGCACAGATATACAAAAATGCATCACTTGCATTCAGTCTCACACAGATTGGTTGGTGCGACCCAGCGGGAGGCAGTTCCAGGAGCACAGAACATGGGATGCACCTCCCATGAAATCCCATAATGGGATTCCCGTGACAAACACACAACTCAGATTCATCACAGAAGACTCTCTCTTTAAAGAAGATACAATTGCATCCACTACATAGGATGCACAGGACAAATGGATTCTCGTTCCAAGTCCTTCAGAGGAATTAAACAAAAAAAAAGTATTTATTAATCTAGTTATTAGTCAAAATTCAAAGAAATTTTGTCGAAAATTAAGCAGTGAGTAATCCTCAAAATGCTGTATAAGGTTTGTAAGAGAAAAGCAACATCTTAGCTTTAAAAGAGAATAGGCCTCATGGATGTTGTGACTTTGATGGAAGGGCGCCTTCTCTTTTAATGAAGTCTTTCAATTAATCAATCCAAACCAGAGGTACCACAGAATCACCTGGGCTGGAAGGGACCCCAAGGATCATGTAGTTCCAACCCCCCTGCCTGGCAGGGCCACCAAACATCCACATTTAGATCAGGTTGCCCAGGACCCCGTCCAACCTGGCCTTGAACACGTCCAAGGACGGGGCATCCACAACCTCCCTGGGCAGCCCGTTCCAGGGCCTGACCACTCTCCTAGTAAAGAACTTCCCCCCAACATCCAACCTAAATCTTCCCTCCTTCAACTTGGATCCATTTCCCCTAGTCCTGCTATTGTCAGCCCTTTTGAAGCGTTTACTCCCCTCCTGGGTGTAGGTTCCCTTCAGGTATTGATAGGCTGCAATGAGGTCACCACTCTTATTTTAACTAAAATTCCATTGAAAACAATGTAAAACTGAGAAACAATGCAGGACGGGAGCTCCTGAAAAGCAGCATACAAATGATACGTAGTAAAGCACATCAGCACCCTTCACCAGCTGATAAATCAAGTGAGCTGACCAAGGCAGAGCAAGTAGTGGAGACAGATTAGAACCAAGAAAGCCAAACTCCTGTATTACCTTTTTAGTTTTCCCCTAATCACAAGTCCTGAAAAGATTGATGTGAAGATATGCAGGGCTCAGCAAGACACAAAATTACTGAAGAACAGTCACTCCTTTTATTTTTAGTCTAAAAGCTATGATCACCAAGCCGCTAAAAAGATGCTTTCAGTAGATATGAAAGCCTTTCATATAACCTTCAGCTGCATTCAGTTTCTAAACAAATAAAACAGAATGGCAGAGAAGATGAGAAAAATCATATTTACAAGAGGAAAGAAAATAACTTACTTTGGGATTTTATTTCATGAAGAGGTTTTTTATCTAGAGAGAGAAAGAGACAGAGACAGAGAGAGAGAGAGAAAGTTGCACTTAATAAATTTACATGGAGCATATCTATTTCCTACATCGCGTCTGTCTTGCTCTATAAATGAAACATTTTCTCTGTATTTGCTGGCAATATGAATATTTTACGTTGTCCACATATTTTTTTTTCCACCTTCTTTTTCTAAATCTCTTTCGGGAAGTTCTTTTTCAGTCATTTCTCACTTGGTTAATTGGAATATTTGTTAGCTTTTTTTAGATGCTCTTATTTTAGAGCACAGTGCATCCAACAGGGAAGTTCAGTACATGGTAGTGGATCACTTGACAGTCCAGTTATGAATTTTTTCTTTGTATGCTTGATATATTAAAAAAGTTGGTGACATTTTGAAAAATTACCCCTCAAAATATACAATATACTCATATTTATGTCTCTATTAAATACACAAAACTATTGACCTGTATACTTGCATAAAAATAATGCACAGAACCAACGCACTACCTGAACATGTAAGTATGTATTTGCAAATGTGAAATCAACTTTATCAAGCTGGGGTTTTACTAAACTACTAAGGTTTTACTAAGCTACTAAAGTGTGGACTGGGCTCTCTGGATCCATCCACAGTCAATCAAAAACCAAAGCAAGAACTGGGAAAAAGTGACGTTCCTGGGACTGAAAAGATGCCTTTTTCCTGTTACTCCCAACTTCTCTGGTCAGGGACTGAAGAGGGGATAACCTGAGCATGCACAGCCCCCGAATTCTTGCTGTTTCATTCATTGACTCCAAGTCAGGAAATTCACACTGGGGATTAGAACTGTTCCTGCTTGTTCAGAACACGGCCACGTATCTCCAGCATCTTATGTTCTTCCCTTTACTTTCATTAGAGTTCCTCCTCGTTAACCAGAGGAATGTTTCATTTCTATTTTTGCCTCATGAAAGGAACAAAGTTAACAAGTTGTGCCTGATAAATAACCTCCAAGAGATTAGTTATCTGAAGCTCTGCACTGCATTTCCTTCGCGATTCCCAGTGGGATGAAAAGCAGAGAAGGAAAGGAACATATCAGAAGATGAGCAGGGAAAAAGAATTCAAAAAATAGGGTAATTGCATCAATTCCTATTAGCTGAGAAAGCAATTATGCTCCTAAAAATAATTTGACATCAGTATATGTATACAGCACAACCCATAAAGGAAGATGCTCTAAGATGAAAGAAATTAGACATTTAATACTTCAAATCTAATTGAATGCACATGGAAATTTCAGAGCCAGCACGTTCTCTCTGCTACTGCGCAGCAAGAAGAGGAGCAACAGCTTCTGTGTCATGGGGCTTTGGATTCCTCTTATGCTGTTCAAGTCCCAGTGAAAGTCTGTTGTGTGTAAATACTAAGAAGGCTCTCAACACCAAATTACTGTGCATTGGTACCAGGCCTGTGAGTGGAACTCCAAGCACTCTGCCCTTTTTCTTCTACCTGCAGTAAAACCGATAGAGATGTGACCAGTACTTGAAACCTTTGTTCATGCTAAAAGCTTCAGAGAGTTTTGTCCTAAAATACTTCTTGAAAATTCACTCTTGGAATCAGCATTAAACAGAAGAGCTAATCCTTGAAAGAGAGCTGCCTAGCATGGCACTGACCCACTGCACTTCTGTTACATCAGAGAGCAACCGGAGCTGATGCTAGAGTGATAACTCAATGCCACAGAGACTGATAGAGGGGCCTGGATGAACTCAGAAGCAGAGAGACTGAGCAGCAGAAGCTGGGAGGGAAAGCCTGTTACCACAGCAGTGCCCAGATGCCCAGTCTGTATCTGAAACAAACCGTGCAACAAAGACTTGGGGAGTTTCAGTGACTGCTGTCATGGAACGAAGCCTGCTCCATCAGGGAAAATGTAAATCATCCATCTCAGTGCGTAACAGGCATGGTTTTTCCCCAGGCCATTGCTCCTTCCAGGTTACCAGCATGAGCATAATACCGTATTTCTTCCTTTGCCTCCAAAGCATAAACACAGAATAGCACAGGAATGCAGAACTGACATGCAAGCACACAGCACGCAAGGATATCACCCCCAAAGTAGGACAGGTGGTCTTCACCACCTTGCAGGGTCATTAAGGAAACACTACTTAAATGGGTTCTCCTTTTATTAAGGAGATGCTTTCCAGACACTTAATAAGGGCAAATCCTGTCCCAAGGGACTGACTGTGAAGTCGGTTTGCCTTTGTTTATTACTCGCAAGAAACTGGAAATCAGCTTTGACCCAAAACAGCTCTTGCACCGTATTCATGTTGGTGCTTTGCCAGTTCACTTGCATTAAAAAGTAGGAAGCTCAGTAGCACTTTCTATGAAATATGTTGTAGCAGATGGCCATAATTACACATCGAAGAAAACCTTTACTTGCATTTTCAGTCATCTGATAATGAATAGGTAAAGCACACGCTACAAAGAAAAAAAAAGAAACCAGCAAAACCACCCACAGGAGCTCTGCTGACACAGATGTGAGGCAGATCCACCACAGTACCTGGATTGCCCTATCTGTGTCAGGCTGCACAGTGCCAACTGTTACCCACCTTGAATGCAAAGCCCTTCGGTGCAGTTCTCCGACTCCTGGCTCAGGCCCTCGCAGTACTTCCCTCCATTTCGTGGAGCTGGTGCAATACATTCCCGAACCCTCAGATGCTCACACTCCGGGCTGCACACAGACCATTCACTCCACACCTCCCAGTTTCCATCCACTGAATGGGGAGGGGAAAAAAGAAGCAAACGTTGTCATTGCTTACCAAACTGATGCAGTTCCAAGATCCTACAAAGAAAACATGTTTTATATCTCCCCTCCGGTTGCACCAAATAGAACGCAAGGCTATATTTATTTCTCAACAGTTGTACAGCATCAGATGTGAAGTTAAAATGCAGCATTAAAATGTGTCGCCTTGAATGTAAATGTAGAAGCTTTTAGAATAGCACCAGTGTGCAACAGTCTGCAAATGCAGTCAATTAAAACTGCAGGAGGAAACGTTTCTGGTGCCACCTATTAGCTTCTAATGCTTCAGTGCCAATTCTGCCTTAAAACAGGCTGATGCAAAGAGGCCACACATAAACCTACCAGAGAAACGATGCTGACATTGACACAAAAAGCACAGTTGGCCTTGCAGATCTCTTGCTAATGCCCTGTGCAACATGAGAAATCTGTATGGTGCTTTGCTGACTGATATTTAGCTGTGTCTGACCCTGTCCCAAATGAGAAGGGATTCCAGAGTCTCCAGTCTTATGCATGAGAAAAAAATGAAGAAAAAAAAAAAAAAATCAGATCAGAGAGACAAGTATAGAAAAAGTTAATTTTTTTTTAAATGCCAGTTCAGAACGTGTTGTATCAAAAACTCATGAAAGCTAGAAGAGAGATTTGCCGAAGGGGCTGCGCTGTGACCCCAGGCAAACAAGATCTTCGAACTTGAATGCATACAATCCTACTATTGCTTAGTATTGCTAAATTTCCTTAGCAATACTTGCGAAGCAGAGATTCCAAAATTAGAGAAGGGCAGCTTTGTTCACTTGCACCAGATGCAAGTAGCTTTTCTTCTTTTGTTTTGTTTTTTAACCTCAGTAGGCTTGTAAAAGCACAACTGCCTACCAGGCATTGCCGAAAGCAAAAGGTCTACCTGAAGCACGCCATTTAAAAGTGATTCCTTCTAGGACTGTGCATATCTCACCAGGGCAAAGAGAAGTGCAGGTGATCTTCTGCACGGACATTCCTTCGCAGAATGCCCCTCCATTGAGTGGGGCAGGGTTGGTGCAGGTCCTCGATCGCTTCTGCCAGCCCCGACCGCACCGCGCATTGCAGTTGGACCACTCAGTCCACGACGACCAGCCTCCATTAACTGCAACACAGAACTGTGCTTGAGGTGCTGAAAGAGGCTCTAAGAGACACGGAACAACAAATCTGCTCATCTGATCGCTTCGTTTGTAAGCAGAATGAGCCTATTGGTATCTGGAATGAGGCCTTTGACAGTATTGACAACTTCTGGGAACCTTTCATCACAAACAGGAAACTCATAATTCCAACCACTGTAAAAACAACAACGACCTCAGCAGAAATAAATGTGACGGGAGTGAGGTCAGCCATTTGATTTAGAACCAGTTGTATGGTAAAAACACGACTTCAGGCAGTAAAAGTACAGTCTTATAAGCTTTTCCATAATAATCAATATATAATTATCACATTTCCACCAACCATAAACCACGACTGTCGCAGACATGCTCCTCCTCTTGGCAACAATGTTGGCAGCCATGCAGGTGTAGTTCCCAGAGTCGGACAGACGCGCCTGTCGGATGATCAGGTTGTGATCTGCTCTGGTGTCGATGTTCTCATCCAGGTTGGAATCTATGGGCTCCTCATTCTTCAGCCATTCCACCTGGAAAGGGAGGGAGGGAGAAAACAAGGTGAGGTATGAAGAGAGGAAGCAGGAAATCCACTTATCTTTCAGTGACTTCACCAATAAATGATACTTCAATCTTTATTATAAACAGTGGAATAGAAGTAAGGTAGGATGAGATTCCCAACAAAGCAGGCATTCACAAAGTCAAGGAAAAAAAAAATCAGTCCTTATCTGAAGAGCCTGGAGCTAATTAGCAAAGACACTCCAATTGAAATACTGAAATAGGAGAAAATGGCAAAGAGCTGGTTTAGACTTGTAAGGATGTGGGTTATGGAGATATTATGTTTGTTCTACTTGGAAAAAAGGAAGGAAAGATGAGGGAAAAAAGAAAGAGCAGTTAATCACAGCTACCTTGCAGAACACAGCACTTCATATGCTCAAACCACCGGACAACAATCAGTTAAATTTCACACTCCGAGTTTGATATTAATCTAAGCAATGACATTCACCATTCAAATAATTCACAATTAAAGTTCACAACTTGCAAATAAACGGACTCTCAGCTTAATTAAACACTATTAAACTAGAACATTAGCATTTGTTTTCAAAGCACATAAATACTGTGAAATACTGTATGCAATGTACTTCTGTACACCTCTAGTTCACTAACCAGCATATTTCTGAGCAGACCCAGAACTTTCCACAAGGCATTGCTATACCTGAAACATTTAAACCAAATATTTAAGGCAAGATGAGGTGTTGTAACAGAACTGGAAAATTAAAACTAGAAGCAGAATCTACTGGAAGCCTGAACAAATATGACTCACTTTCATAGCTATTCCAGACTTGAAGGAGGTATGGCCATACCCTGAAGTCAAACACCCTTCTCAGCTCAGTTCTCTTTACTGCATGTAGGACTGCAACACTTGGTGGATGAAAAACGTTCACATTAATGCAGAGCATTTAAAAGAATGATGTTCACTATGAAGGGAGAACGTTAAACAGACAGAATGCAAACGTGGAATTGTTGAGAGATGTGCCATCAAAAGCTATTTGTAAACAGGGGCATGCGTTGCCTTTTGCTTCTTATCTGGAGGCCTGATGGCACTACGAATGCACATCTCTAATTCCAGCACTCAAAGAGAAAAGGAGCGCTTCAACCTCAGCAGATGAATGCTTTCAAAGATGCAAAACCAAGAGATGAATTCAAAGGAAAACCTGATAACTGTAAAGGCTTCCCAATGCCAGCAGGTTGTTGAAACTTGCAGTGCTGCAGCCATCGGAGAATTTCATCACACAAACATATGCAGAACCAACACACAAAATAATCATGCAAAATAAAGGCAACAAAGGAAGTTACTGCATCTCCGTATTGAAATGAGGTACGTGGGCTGAACTGCCAACCTGCCAGCTTGGAACTGCAGACTTAAAACCCCCTGGTATTTAACTTCACTCAATTTTCCACCAGTGGAGGTCACACAGTAGCTCATAACATTCCAAAATACATTTCTTTCTAAGCATTAGCCTGTCTTGAGGCCTTACATGTTTATATCTTGAACTAGACTTTAAAAGCCTGCCTGTAACTGCAGTAAGTTTATAAAAACATATCTGATTTTTTTCTTCCTGAAATAGATCTGCTCAGAACTCAAATACTGCCATCAATTAGTAAGAAAGGCTAATCACGTAATGATCTGCAGAAGAAATGGAGGGGCAGATATGGGTTAATTCAGCTACTACTTATTGGGTGGCAGCAGATGAATTAGCATAATCATAAATTATTCTAATTACAGAAAGCAATTATCAAAGACCAGTATTATAGAAACAAAATCAGTTAAACACACCATATCCCAGGTAGGTTACCATGGGAGTCAGTGAATTCTTTATTCTCTATTTCCTCAAAAATTAAGCTGATCAGTACTCATCCATACTTTTTGCCTACTGTGGATAGCACAAAGAAGCCTGACAGTTTCATATCATGGGAACATTTCGTTTGCTGCAGGTGATGGGAGTCTTACTGCACTATGTGCAATGTAAATACAGCATATATAGCATCCTTACCTGCAGATACATCTGAACAGCTACTATGGAAACACCTCCTTCCAGCTGCCACCTAGCAAGTCCCCAGTGCTCTGGGGACTCACAGGTACCCCTGAAACTATTGGTGGGAGCAGAACCACAGCTGAATCTGGACTGTAGGTTGCTCCCTCCTTTAAAGCTGCCCAGCAGTGGGCTACAGTTGTGGTTTCTATGGGAGCAGAACGTTACACTGTACTTATTCACATTAACAGAAATTACTTTTGTTGTTGTTTATAATACCCAACTTAATAGTTAAACCTTGGAGAAAAGGCAGTAGATGAGAAGCATCTCATGGCATGATTTGGTGCCTGAAGGGTTCCTCAGCAGCTGCTGCAATTAAAACACCCCAAGAGCCAACTGGCTGCCCATCGCTGCATCTTCTATTCTTTCTAGGGTATCTTGCTTGGGAATACAAAGATTTAACACCCAAAAGAAGAAATACACTTCACATCTTTGGGCACACACGATAATTTCATAGGTCAGAAGACAAAAGACTTTAGCATTCCTGCCTGTAGATTATACTATCCTGCCCTTTAAACACAACGTCTGACTTTCTCATGTGGTCAATAACCTGAGTACACATATATCAGAGATAATATAGTTAGAATGTCAGCTCCTCTTGAAGAGAGAATCAATCGCTTTCTGTATGCTAGATAAATGCTTCATGATTTTAAGATGGGAAAAGGTCAACACCTGACTAAAGGCAGCACAAATGTTTTTTTAGAGTGCAGACAGTTTACAGCTTTTCTTCGACAGGAGAATATGAGGCGTTAGAAGTAAAGATGAATTCTTTTCTCCAAATAAGTTTCTTTTAATAAAAAAAAGGTTTCCAACAGGTTCTCCCGCACATCAAGACAAAGGGAAGGCCTGGAAGGCTTCCAGTACCTTTTCTGCTGACTCCAGAGCGCACCCTGGGAGATTACAGCACTAGGCTAACATTGGTGTGGGTGAATATTCCTCCCACAGTGATCAGCCTGTAGCTAGAAAAAACCCTTTCTACTTTATCACCTTACTGAAAATCTTACTAAAAATGGCTTTCACTGTGACCTACAGTGTTTTATGGAAGGGAGTGAAATCCATTCCCTTCAAGACTGAGCCTGATGTAGCATGAAATTTACATTTCTGAAAATGCAGGTATCTAGCTTAGGAAACCTTCCTCAGCACTACAGCAGAATGAATGAGGATGAATGGGGCAGCTTCTCTGCTGATAGTGATGCACTAAGATGGCAACAGATCTTTGTTTTGCTTTCTACCCTAATACTCACACAGATACAAAGGAGAAACCTCCCATCAGCATAAGTCATTGTGGGAGATTAATAACCACAAAAGCCAGTTTGCAGGATCCAAGCGATTCACATCTACCTTCACGACCACATACTATTTTATCAACACAATCAAAAAGCATTGATCTTCCTTGCAAGGGGGCTACCTGCAGAAACACACAGGCAGCAGCAGGTCAACTACCTGCTGAAGGTTTTTAAGTTAATCCACCGAGAGAACAGTGTTACCGAATCATTTAATCACAGCACTGTCATGCTGCTCTGGTAAGCATATTTTTCCTTCATTAGATTGAATATATAATCTCGTTACATGAATCTGACACACCGACCAACTCATAAATCAGCTTGCAGTCTTGTTGGCAATGTGGCAACGGTACAGGAACCTTCTCTTTGAAGAGATGCTCTCAGTGGTTGCAAAAAACCTCAAGGGCAGTGTGCTGCTAATGCATTTCCTTTCTGCTTGTTTTGCTCCAGGTGCCTTGCAGGGGAACTGAAGCCTCAAGCAGCAAATAAGTCCAGGGAGGCTGCCCTCCCATGCAGGACAGACAGCATTGCTGTCTTCTCTTCTGGAGCCTATTCTCAGAGCCACATCCAATCTGCAACGAAGCAAGCATTTTTGTGTGATTTAAAACCTCAAACAAACTAATACTGGTGAATAATCAAGGAGGGGGGAAAAAAGGGAAAGGTAAGAAAATAAGCATGTATTTCATGTATGCTCTTGTGTAAATATAATGGGAAAGATACACGGCTTGTATGTGCTTCTCCATTTGTAATGCTAAAGATGAAGGTGAGCAACAGGTTGACTCAGACATGCTATTTTAAACCATTGTTAAGAACACACATTCCTAAATGCACTGTTGCTAATGGTAGGTTGCCTGATGGTTAAAAATAAAAGAATCAGCATTAAAAGCCAAAGCTTTTCTTTCTCTAGATAACACGAAATCTAAGGGCATATACGAATCCACAGACGATGTTTTACAAGTGCGCTGCACAAAGCGTGCGTTCCTCAGTGCTGTGATGTGGGATGCTCAGAAGGAAACAAAGAGCCCACAGCACTGATGTTGTGTTCACAGTGACACCAAGCTTTTTTTTTTTAACCAATTGCTTTTGTAAGTGGCAGCCTTCCAATACAACTTCCAGAATGTAACTGTGAGATACCTCTAAGAGAAACCCCTTTTTATCCATTAGTGAACCCTCCTGTTCTACACACTAAAAACGTATCTAAAAACCAACTCTCTCTATATGAAAAAAATACAATTGCTAGTTAACAAACATGCTACTCCTGCTGTGTCACTGAATACAGCCAAGCAGACCTGCAACACAAATAACTTACTATGTTAAACGTATACCTATGTGTCCAGAGAGATAAAACATCGCTGGAATCTGTGATGTTATACAATATCAGTTCCACAGTACTTCACTGATACTCATTTTGGATTATAAAGTGACTATAGCATGAGTATACTGCACCAGCAGAACCTGAATAGAGAGAACCCTTGTTAGCTTAGATAAAAAGGTGTTTTGTGAGAAAGAACCACAACTAGAAAGTGCAGTAACAAATGCAACTGCTACTTTGAAGTCGTAAACCACTTAGATATCTACCAGGGGGCATTTTCTCATAGCAGCTTGGCTGGATAGGTTGAACGTTTCAGCCTCCTAACAACCTTTTCACCTCTGAAA